GGGGCTCTCAGGGTGGTCAGGAGCTGGGCTAGGTCAAATCCCCTGTGGCCTTCCATCAGTGGTGGCTGCTCCCCCACAGAATCCGAGGCCGAGGACAAGGAAGAGGCAGCTGCCTCTCAGAAAGAGAAGAAGCGGAGTCGCGCCCGGGAAAAAGTGAGGGCGGTTAGGATCTGGCTGCAGACCTTCTGCCTCTCCCTGTGAGTGACCAGCCTGGGAGTGGCCCCAGCCAGGGACGGGTGGGAGGAACCAAGTGGTACCAAGCTGATCCCTACTCCACTCCCGCTCAGGGCCCAGAGCGTGTACCGGCCCCTGCGACGCTTCTTCCATGACATCCTGCACACCAAGTACCGTGCAGCCACCGATGTCTATGCTCTCATGTTCCTGGCTGATGTCGTCGACTTCATCATCATCATCTTTGGCTTCTGGGCCTTTGGGGTGAGCTGGGCTCAGGGACCCCAGTGAGCAGAGCCCAGCAGCCACCCCAGCTCCCCCTGACCTCTACTCTCCCGGCCACAGAAGCACTCAGCGGCTACGGACATCACATCCTCCCTGTCAGACGACCAAGTGCCTGAGGCCTTCCTGGTTATGCTGCTGATCCAGTTTGGAACCATGGTCATTGACCGTGCCCTCTACCTACGCAAGACCGTGCTGGGCAAGCTGGCCTTCCAGGTCATCCTGGTGCTGGCCATCCACTTCTGGATGTTCTTCATCCTACCTGCTGTCACCGAAAGGTGGGTGCTGGGGGCTTGGGCCCTGCCCTGCAGAGGTGTGCTTTTCAGTACCTGGCAGAGCCGAGGCTGGGTCTGGGGACTTTGAGGCTCCAGCTGCGTAACTCAGGTGGGGTGCCCTCACCTGAGCTTCTTGTCCTACTCAGGATGTTCAGACAGAACACAGTGGCCCAACTCTGGTACTTCGTGAAGTGCATCTACTTCGCCCTATCCGCCTACCAGATCCGCTGTGGCTACCCCACCCGCATCCTTGGCAACTTCCTCACCAAGAAGTACAACCACCTCAACCTCTTCCTCTTCCAGGGGTGAGTTTGGGTCAGCCTAGGAGAGGGTGGAGGAGCGAGGCTGTCCTCCCTCAGGCCCTCCTGATGGGTCCGCTGGCCTCGGGCAGGTTCCGGCTGGTGCCATTCCTGGTGGAGCTGCGGGCTGTGATGGACTGGGTATGGACAGACACCACGCTGTCCCTGTCCAACTGGATGTGTGTGGAGGACATTTATGCCAACATCTTCATCATCAAGTGCAGCCGAGAGACAGAAAAGGTGCCTGGGCCCACGGTGGGAGTAGCGAGGTGACACTAGTCACTCCCGATTGGGGCAGATGGATGCTGCAAAAACCAGACAGTGCTAGTGACTCAACCCCTCCCCAGGTTCACAGCCCACATTAACATGAGGCCAGAAGGCCACCAAAAGCCATAGAGCATTTCTAGAACTCTTTTATGTGGCCAGAAGCAGCTTCTTAGAGAGAACTTGACCCTGTCAGGGAGGAGGCAGTTGGCACAATGGCCTGAGCAAATGCCCAGTGGAAGAGGCATCGCTATGTTACGTGAAATTTGGCACAATGGCCTGAGCAAATGCCCAGTGGAAGAGGCATCGCTATGTTACGTGAAATTTTCTTTTTTTAGGAGCTTTATTGTAGGATGATTCACATACCACAAGATTTGGTACTTTCTAGTACATTTAAAGTTGTGCAACCATCATCACAGTCAATTTTAGAATATGCTCATCACTCCAAAAGAAAAAAAAAAGCCCCGTATCCATTAGCAGTCACTCTCCATTCCCCTCATTACTCAGTTCCTGGGAGCCACCACCTACTTTCTGTATAGATTGGCCTGTTCTGGAAATTTCATATAAATGAAATCACATAATATGTGGCCTTTCGTGGCTGGCTTCTTTCACTCAGCATGTTATCAAGGTTCGTCCATGTTGCAGCCTGTGTTAGAACTTCGTTTCTTTTTAAGGTTTCGTAGCGTTCCATTGTGTGGATGTGCTACCTTTTGTTTATCCAACTGTTCCAAGTGTTGGATATCTGGGTTTGTTTTATTATAAAAAATGCTGCTATGGACATCCAGTGACTGCACCGTATCAGAGTCCCACCAATCCCTTCCACATCTCATCAACACTTGCTATTGTCTTTTTTCTTTTATCCATCATGTGGTTTCGATTTGCATTTCCCTATTGTCTAATGACATTGAGCATCTTTTCCTGTGCTTGTTGACCATGTCCATCCTTCTTTGAAGAAATGTCTGTTCAGCAGCTTTGCTCATTTTTTTCCTTGTTTTTGTCTTTTATTGGGTTGAAAGAGATTCATAGATATTCTAGATACTTGATTCTGATTAGATATGATTCATAGATATTTTCTCCCATTCTGTTTTTTTTCTTTCTCGTTGATGTCCTCTGAAGCACAAAAGTATTTTAATTTTTTTTGTTTAAGCAGTTTAATTTTTTTTGTTGCTCATACTTTTCATTTTAGATGAGAATCTTTTGCCAAATATAAGGTAACAAATATTTGCCTGTAAGAGTTCATTGATTTAGGTCTTACGTTTGAGTTAATTTTTGTATACAGCGTTAGATAAGGATCCACCTTCATCTTTTTGCATGTGATATTCAACTGTCCCAGCACCATTTGTTGAAGATTGTCCTTTCCCCCACTGAGTGATTGGCAGCCTTGTTTCCATGTGTGGGTTTGTTTCTGGGCCCTCGATCTTTCTGTCAATCTCTGTCCTGTGCTGCACTACACAGTCTTAACTGTGATAGCTCTTCGGTCAGTTTGGATATTCAGTCAAAATTTGACTTTATGAGGCCACTGGCTGAGCCCAAGACCATGGCCTTGAGGACAGGAGGGGCAGGGCATGGAGGACGCCTCCGGGAGCAGCAGGGAGGGAGAGCTCTGGGATAGTGCTTGTGGCCAAGGAACAGGGATGGAGGCCTGCACAAGGCAGGGCAGGAGGAAGGCAGAGCTGAGCAAGTGACCCATGCGCCCTCCCACCAGAAATACCCGCAGCCCAAGGGGCAGAAGAAGAAGAAGATTGTTAAGTATGGCATGGGTGGCCTCATCATCCTGTTCCTCGTGGCTATTATCTGGTTCCCACTGCTCTTCATGTCCCTGGTGCGCTCTGTTGTCGGCGTGGTCAACCAACCCATTGATGTCACTGTCACCCTCAAGCTGGGCGGCTACGAGGTGAGCAGCCACCTTCTGCTCCAACCAGGGGAAGCAGTGCAGGTGCAAGCTCTATGCGCACACTAGGGGCTCTGGCCAAGCAGACCCAAACCCCATTCCTCCGCTTTCTCATCCTCATGGACGGTTTAGAGCTGGGCCTGGGTGCTGGTCATCTGGCACCCCTGGCATCACGTCACTGTTCCCATCCCCAGCCCCTGTTCACCATGAGTGCCCAGCAGCCATCCATCGTGCCCTTCACACACCAGGCCTACGAAGAGCTGTGCAAGCAGTTTGACCCCCAGCCGGTGAGCAACCCCCATGCTGCATCTTCCTGGCAAGGGAGGGGACGGCTTGGAGGGAGGGTGGCCTGGCCACACCCCACTGAGGTGCCATCTTGTACCCAGCTGGCCATGCAGTTCATCAGCCAATACAGCCCTGAGGACATCGTTACAGCACAGATTGAGGGCAGCTCTGGGGCACTGTGGCGCATCAGCCCGCCAAGCCGGGCCCAGATGAAGCGGGAGTTGTACAATGGCACTGCTGACATCACCCTGCGCTTCACCTGGAACTTCCAGAGGTATGTTCTGGGCTTGGGCGGGGCCTGGGTGGGTTGTACCCCATGGAGGGTCATGCTGTACCCCTGCCTACAGGGACCTGGCCAAGGGCGGCACTGTGGAATACACCAACGAGAAGCACACCCTAGACCTGGCCCCCAATAGTACTGAACGGCGGCAGCTGGCCAGCCTGCTGGAGGGTACCTCAGACCAGTCAGTGTGAGTGGGGGCCCGGGGGACATTGGGGCACCAGGAGGGCAGGGCCAGGGCTGACCCACTGGACTCCTCCCCACAGGGTCATCCCCAACCTCTTCCCCAAGTACATCCGTGCCCCCAATGGGCCTGAAGCCAACCCCGTGAAGCAGCTGCAGCCCAGTGAGTGTGTGTGGGTGGCGGGGAGGTTGCTGGCTGTGGCCTCCACACCAGAAGAGGGTGGTGGCCCTTACTATCTCATGGCCCTGATGCAGATGAGGAGGCTGACTACCTTGGTGTGCGCATCCAGCTGCGGAGGGAGCATGTGGGCTCAGGGGCTGCTGGCTTCCTTGAGTGGTGGGTCATCGAGCTGCAGGACTGCCAGGCTGACTGCAACCTGCTGCCAATGGTCATCTTCAGCGACAAGGTCAGCCCACCCAGCCTGGGCTTCTTGGCTGGCTACGGGTGAGTATGTGGTATGTGACATGTGGCCTGGGGGGTGGCTGTGGGCAACAGTCCCCAGGACTCATCCGCCCCTGCCTGACAGGATCATGGGACTCTACGTGTCCTTTGTGCTGGTCATTGGCAAGCTTGTGCGTGACTTCTTTGGTGAGATCTCACACTCCATCATGTTCGAGGAGCTGCCATGTGTGGACCGCATCCTCAAGCTCTGCCAGGACATCTTCCTGGTGCGGGAGACACGGGAGCTAGAGCTAGAAGAGGAGCTATATGCCAAACTCATCTTCCTGTACCGCTCACCGGAGACCATGATCAAGTGGACTCGCGAGAAGGAGTAGGAGCTGGGCTCCTCGTGCACCGTGAATAAAGGAGCCAGCCCAGCAGGCAGGAGGGTGGTACTCCTCGGGCCACCAGAGCAGATACCCCAGTCTAAGGCCACCAGCTGTGACATGTCCTCCTGGCCCACTGAACCCTGATGCTGCTGTCAGAAGGAAGCTGTGGCCCCTCTGTGGCCCAGCACAGGACTGCTGTCCTTTCCCGTCGTCCCTGCTGGGCCCAGTGTAGCCCACAGCCAGCCACACTGGGCCAGGGGGCCCAGCCCTCCCTCCCCCACGCGTACTGTAGATTTTTCTAATTAAAAACATTTTTATTTATACAAATGGACAATCACATGCTGCCTGCCTGTCCTTGCATGGCAGAGGTCCCAGCAGGGTGACCCTGGGTGTGCATCCTCAGGCTCAACTCTCACCAGTGTGCACCTCGTCATCGCTGTCTTCAATGAGATACTCCTGGATCTCCTGTGAGACCCAGGCCCTAGGGGAAGCCACACAGTGGAAATTAGCCTGAAGGTACTCATGCCCAGAGGCCCCCCTCCAAGGGCACCCCCAGCACAGTAGGCACTGGTACCTCTGGCTGCGGAGCTGGGCCTCAGCCAGGATGTAGGGTGGCAGGGGGTCCAGGGAAGGCTGCAACGGAAAGCCAGCATGGGCGAACGGCTGCGGGGCACTAAGCTGAGCCAGTGCCCACCCGCCCCCTCACCCCCAAGAGTGAGATGGCTTCCCCTATCACCAACACAGGGCAGGCGCCTACTCACCAAATCTTTCATATTCACACGGCAGCCGTAACACAGCTGCTCGATGACATGGCCTCGGGGGTCCTTCCTGCGAGAGCAGAGCTAGACCTGTGTGCCCTGCCCAAGGGCTTGGTCCCAGGTTGTACCACCACCCTCTGTGTAGCTGCAAGGGACCAGCCATGAGGTGGGATGGGTCAGGGAAGGGACTCACCTCCCACAGGGCCCAGCCCCCTGGCAACAGCCCTGGGTCCTGCCCACCCCTGCAGAACAGCAGGGTGCTGTGGGTGTCTCAGCTGGTGAGGTTGGGGGCTGCGTCTGGGAGAGATGTGAGGTCTGTGCTCCAAAAGCTGTGGCACTATCTGAAAGCAGAAATGAGCTGAGGGCACCTCAGGGGCTGTTGAACCCCAACACCCACTTACTGGTGCCCCTCTCCCTCCACCCAAGCACCCTAAGGAGACAGCACAGACCAGCAGTATCGATGTCCAGAGTGCACATGCAGAGCAGGCAGCGAGGGCCTAGGGGACCAGCAGCGCCACTGTCCCTGGGGGCCTTGACCAGCTTCTCACTCGTTCTGGGGGCATGAAGACAGGGCACAGAGGCATCATCGGTTGGCTGAGGCCTTGCCCATGCCCTGGGGTGGTAAGCTCAGTGCCCACCGCTCCCACCCCTACCCCAGGCATACACACACACCTGTACACAGTGCTGACTGTGGAAGGGAACTGGGCCTGCAGCCTGAGCATAAAGGCTTCCATCAGCCGGTGGATGCTGGCCTTTTCGGAGGCCTAGGGACAATCATATGGGGGGCTACAGGAGTGGCTCCGATACAGAGAGGCAAGGCAGGCTCCAGGCCTGGTCAAGGGGCCACCTGGAATAGGGGCCATGGGTTTCTCCATGCTGTCAGCCCTTGACAATCTGCCATGCTGGGAATGGAGTAAGCCAGGGCACACACTTCTAAAGTGTCCCTGTTGCTAAACAGACATTATTAAAATTTAAATTATGTTAAAAAAAAACTTATGTGTCCCTGACAAAGGTCATCTTGCCCCCCATCATCTCCTCCCCCATGTCCATGACCCCCCAGCTGGGCACCTTGCCTTCCCAGGGACAGGGGCACCAGCATGTCCTCCAACTCAAAGGATGCCCTGGATATGCTCCAAAAATGCTGGGGACAGAGGAACTCCACTATGGCACCAAATGGTAGGCACTGAAGCCAGAGGGCTGGTATGGACAGCTTGGGCTGCCAGAGGTATGCCAGCAACCTCTGCCCTGTCCCTGTAGCTCACCTTGGTGTCAATAGCCGGCGTGAAGACGGACGGGACACCAAACAGGCGGTTGTAGAAGGCGACCTCCTTTAGCGTGTGGTCACGCATGGGCCGTACCACCACCACGTCGCCATGTCGCTCGTCTGAGAAGCCCTGGGTGGGAGGTGTGTGGAGAATGTTCCTCACTGCACCTAGCAGACAGGCTTATAGACCCCCTCCTTCCCTGCCAGCCAGAGGGTAACACTTCCCCCTCCACTAGAGAGACCCCAAGACTGATTCACATGACACTACTTTCAAGTGAAGAGTCCTGAGGGGTAAGGGTAGGAGGGGCCCCCGGGCAGCCTGCCCCAGAGTACCGTGTCCCAGGCCAGGAAGGCTCCTCTCCCCAGTGCTAGGCTAGTCATGAGCTTGATAGCCAGGCGGGTGCAGCTGTCTCCCGTCATCACCTTGGAGTAGCCGTGGGTCCGGGCCACATGCAGGATCAAATGGGTCCTGCAGAGCAGGGCAGGGGACCTTAGAGGGAGTTTCAGGCCCAGGTGGGCAGGGCCACGACACAGCGGGCAGGAGGGCTCACCGCAAGGTCTGCAGAAGCTCCTCCTTGGCTGTCAGCGTCTTCACTGAGTCAAACAGTCTGGACAGAGCCTCAGTCTGGGCAGCTGTGGGTGGCCCAGCTGGGCTCTGGGGGTCCTGGGTGCCAGGCTGGCTCTGCTGCTCCTCCCCCTGGGCTGGTGCATGCTGCTGCTGGAGGAAACTGTCCACGGCTACCTTGTAGGCTCCTTTGGTCCCCACAGGCTCCTGGGCAAAGTAGCGTAGCACGGATGGCGGCAGACTGAACACCTTGCAGGGTAGGTTGGGTGGAGGAGATCGTGTGACGCCCATGCCCAGCTCTGTACATACTGGGACAGGGGGACGGGAAGGGGGAAAGGTGCAGGCAAGAGGACCACAGGCTAGCCCCAACAAGTAGGTACAACATTCCTTGTGGACACTCCAGAAGGCACCTCCAGTGGCCTCTTTTAGAGACAGGTCTACCCACCTCTTCTAAAGCAACAATGTGCCAGGGGAAGCCAACGGTCTGCAGGATCAGCTTCACTTCAGCCAGGGTTTTGGCTCTATCCTCTGGACTCTGTCCACAGACTGCTCCCTCTGAAACAGGCAAACAAAAAGGAGTCATGGCTTATAGGAGAAGAGTCCCAGGCAGGCACGACAGGGTCAACATCATGGGAGAAATCCTTCGAGGTGGTAGTTTCTGTAGAAACCACATGTTGCAGACCTCCTTAGAGGAGCATTTTCAGAATGAGCAGTGGGTTCTCTGCAGTGGCTGAGAGGAAGGAAGGGGAGGGGCAGAGCAGATTAGCATCCCGGCCCCTTGGACAGTGAATTGCCTGTCTCACTCAGTGCCAACTCACAGAGAAGACCAGGTAGGCGATCCCACCAGACTCTCTGATGAAGGCCTGACTTAAGACAACAGTGGTAGTTTGTTATTGTAGGAATCCTCAACCCCCAGGCTGCAGACTGATACCAGTCCATGGCCTGTTAGGAACCGGCTGCACAGGAGGAGGTGAGCTCACAGGAGCGTGAACCTTTTTGTGAACTGTGTATGTGAAGGAGCTAGGCTGCACGCTCCTTATGAGAATCTAATGCCTGACGATCTGAGGTGAAGCTGAGGCAGTGATACTAGCGCTGGGGAGAGGCTGCAAATACAAATTAACATTAGCAGAAAGGTTTGAATGCACAGAGACCATAATAAATCAAGTACTTGCAGACTCATATCAAAACCATATCAGTGAGTGGCAAGTGACAAACTGCATCTGGTGGCAGGCTTTATAGTGGCGAGTTGATGTACTTCAATTGTACAGCTGCATCTGGTGGCATCTGATTCTGCATTATGGTGAGTTGTATTTTATTTCATTACATGTTACAATGTAGTAGTAATAATAAAGTGTACAATAAATGTAATGCACTTGAATCATCCTGAAACCATCCTCCTGCCATACCCCCACCCAGGTCCATGGAAAAACTGTCTTCCACAAAACCAGTCCCTGGTGCCAAAAAGGTTGGGGACCGCTGTTATTGGACATGTGCACTCTGCCTCCAGAGGAATGCCCCACCAGGACCTTGGTGTGAGCACCGTGCCAGCTGTTTCAGGGGGCCCACCCAAAGTGGCCCGGCCTTAGGAGGAGAAATGGCCACACATACCATCGATGTACACGACCCCTGGCACAAAACGCAGTCTTTTGGCAGAATCTCGACTCAGACCCTGGAGAGGGGTAGGGACAAGGCCTCAGACCACGGCCAGAAGCCACAGGACAGTTTCCCTGCAGACACCATTCTCTATCTGGACTGAGTACCCTCTGGGAAGGGGTGGTGACTCCCATCTGTAATAGACAGGCTGCACGGGGAGGCCGTATATCCTGACTCACTTCAAAGCAGCCCAGTCTGAACATCTGTACTCCCCCTTGTAAAACTGCCCTCCCCAATCTGTCCCTGCTCCTGGCAATGCCCTGAGAAGCAGCTGGTTCTACATGGCCTGCCATGCCCCCTACCCAAGCCCCTCCGACTGCTCAGCATGGAAAGGGGCAACAGGATAAAAGTGAGTCACCGCTGCTCAGAGAGAAGAGTAGGGCCAGGTGCTGGACGAATAACTGGGGGAGTAGGCGCTTATCTCACAACACCTGGTCAGGTTTAGGGGACTGTGAAGGGAGAGCAGATGTACCATGCTGGGGCACAGACCCCTCCATAGCCTCAGACTCGTCACCAGTCCCTCCAGTCTGCACCCCTTGCAAGGAGTGTGGAAGGTCCATGTGTGGCTGGGTACTCTGGATGCAGCTTCCAGCTTGTGCACCTTTTACGTAAACATCCGAGAACCTTCCAAGATTCCCAGTTCAGGGTGGACTATTCTCTCTATCTCCAAGCAAGAGCCCCTCAGTGCTGACCCCCCACCCTCAAACATGGTGGGGCAGCAACCTGGGCCCAGGAGGACAGAGTGGAGACACACCTCAAGGACCTGCCAGACCATGGAGCTGGATGAAGGCCCCCCAGACCATGCCAGGAGCACCTGGAAAAAAGGAACATTATTAGAGGTTACCGCATCTCCAACGTGAGCTTGCCCACCCCCTGACCACTGCCATGGACATCCCCATGGATCTATATTCAGAGCCAAGGTGCAGGGCAGCGGGAGAGGTTGGTGGGATGTAGCTGAGACAAGCCAACTGTGGGAAGGGTGGTAGGGGCAGAGAATCAGGGCCTGGGGGTCTGGGCTGCCCAGCTGGAGATCCCACATAGAAATGACCCCATACTCTACCTTCTCTCCCGGAAAGATCAATCGGTTCTTCCCAAGCACAGCTCTGAACTTGTGGACATAGAACACCTTAAAACAGTCTCTGCAACACAAACCACCACTGGCTGCAGCTACACTGCCCAGGCCACCCAACCTTCACGTTCACGCTGGCCCCACAGGTCAGCAGCCTGATGCTTGCTTAGTTACCTTTTCCCTCTTGTACCAACTTCCATCTTTAAAACCAGCATCTTGACATTGAGGCTCCACCAAGAGGCTGGCGTAAAGGGGTTCTTGCTGGCTATGGCTGCTGGGATGAGCCTCATACCACATGGGGAGGCCCACCTGAGTTGTCCCCACAATCCTTACCAGTGTGAACCAACGGCTGAGGGGACAGGAGCCTGGGTGCCACCTGCAGACACTCAGAAAGGCCCAGCTGGCGGAATGGATGGACCCAAGCATGTGCAGGGCCAGACTACCCCATCCTCCCCTAAACAGAGTTGATGACCCCTTCCGAGACCACCATGAGGAGAAGCACCATCTCTTGGGGTGAAGGGGAAAGCACTGACTGGGCTGCAGGGGCCCAGCATCCTGAAGCTCCACGAAGGCCTCTCTCTAGCACACTGATCCCACCCAGACCAGAAATGCCCAAAAAGCCCCAGCAAACATCGAGTCCTGAGCTCTTCCCCAAACCTATAGATCAGAACTTCCAGGGCAGGTCTTGGGGATCTGTGTTCTTGATAAAATTTTTGGCTGGTTCTCAGGCTCACTAGATCAGAGATTGTTAACTTTGCACATTAGAATCACTCTGGCCAACTACATCAGAGTATATCAGGACAAGACCCAGGCATCTGCATTTTAAAGCTCCCCTGGCAACCCCAGAACGCAGTCAGGGTGAAGAGCAGTATCCCAAGCAGAGGGCAATGCGGCCCCAAGAGCTGCCCCACACCCGAGGCTGCGCTTCCTGTCTGCTCCCTTCTTCTTGCTCAGACATCCTGGTGTCCACAGCAATCCCCACTTATGAGGGGCTGACCAAACACCCCACAGGTCCTTTGAGGATGGTAACTCAACTCAATGTTTAACAGCAAAATGTGGAGCTCTAGGGACCCCAGGTGACCAGCCACAAGAAGTGACTCTCAAGAAGGTTGGGGTGTGATGGGGCTCCCCGACCAGACACGGATGCTTGACTTTGTCTGCTCAGTGTGTGTGTATGGTGGGGGGAGCGCGGGGGAAGCACTCTGTGGCTGCTCCACTCCATGTCCTCCCTGCCCCACTAGGCTCCCAAAAGAACATTCCCCCTCTGGGTTAGGCCAGGGTTTCCCACACATGCTGATCCTCAGAATCATTGAGGAAACTAGCTCAAAGTCTAGATTGCCAAAACCTACAACCTGGAAAGTCAGCTTCGCAACTTTTCCTGTGACTGAGCAAGTAGGAGAGGGGGCTCTGGGCCCAGAAGGAGCCCTGCTGGTCCTGCCTAGAGCTACTGCAGCCTCTCTTCCCCTTCTCAGGGAGTTCTCTAAGCAGATTGGAATGACCATCACTTTTAGATGCTCTGAAGTGATTAAAGCAGTGGCTTCTCTACTTAAAATGTATTTCCTGGTGGCACACACCTCATTCTACTAAGCACATACCAAGTCTACTACACTCCCAAAAGATGGTCAGACAAGAAAGTTTTTAAAAAACAATTTACTCAGTCCCTTCAGTTTCTTTTTTGCAACATTTTAGAAAGCAGAGTCCAAACTCTTGGAAACTAATCTAAAGATGTGAGCCCGTCACTCATTCAATAATGTTCATTTGATATACAAAGCATGCAACGCCACCAAGAATTAATAGGGATAAAATGCGAGACCAGCCCTGCCCTCTTGGAGCTATGAATCTAGTAAAAGTGATTACAGAAGAGTTAAGATTTGAGGACTATGTGACAGGGCCACAAGAGAGTTTCAGAAAAAACAACATGCTGGTGCCCAGGCTCTTCTGGGAATAAGTCTCTGCTCTTCTGCAAATGACACTCCCCACCCCCAGAACTGGAGAAAGGCTGGACCTGCCTTCCATCCTCCTATCACTCACAAGTAAAACAGGCATTGCACAGAGCACCTGTCTGAGATCCCAGGATGCTCCAAACTACCCCTAGATGTGTTCCAACCGCCCTAAAATGCTCATCCTGCCTACACCTCATGCACTCTCATTGCCAACTCTCCCCATAAGCTCCATCACAAACCTTCCTGCCACCTGATCCACGGTTGGATGCTGGGAGAATGGTACCCACACAAGAAACCAATACTTCCCCACCAGTGCCAGTCTCCAGGAGCAATGTTAGAAGCAAAAGTAAAATTATTAAATGCTTTAAAATGCAAGAAATAAAGCCACAGAAATTAAGGCAATCTTGGCTGCTAAGCAAGACTATTTGCCAGGGTCTTCTACCCACCTCCAGGCCTCACCTGCAGAAGGCATCTCCTGCTCGGATCACCACCACAGGCAGGACGTCCTTGCACTTCATACACTTCAGCTCACGGCTTTGGAGACATGGGATGGGGGAGAGAGCAAGACCACAGATTATACACCCGCTTCCCAGCAGGCTTCGGAAAGTCAGTGTCCTGTTTCTCACCCCAAGCTGGTGTATGGAAGAGGTCAAGTGGGAGGCTGTACACACACAAACCAGGGCTTGTGTCTTATCCAAACTACCAATTTGTAAAAAAAAAAAGGGGGGGTGGCCCTAGAGGATTTCAGTTTGTTAAAGCCGGCTCAGAAGGCACATAAAGGCCACCTCTCAATCTCTGCAAGGCTGGCAGAGACAACTTGCTGTGTGGCCCTAGAGGGGAGACGTGGAGCCAGTGGGTGGAAGCAGCAGGGAGGCCGATTTCCTCTTCTAGTAAAGACAGCATGATCAGCGGTGGAGCAGTCCCACTGGCTGCAAGAATCTGAGGTGCGAGTGAGTGGAGAAAGCCCCTCCCTGGGATGGTCACCACCAGCTTGACAGGCACTCCCCAGGTGCTGCGGACCGAGGTCCAGCCCCTACCCGGGACCCCAGGACTCCTGGGCCCGGCCTCAGCGGTCTCTGAGCTTCCCGGAGCGCGGCGCCCGGGACTGGCAGCAAAGTGCGGCCGGGCTCTCGGGTCCAGGTTCGCCGCCGGCCAGGGTCGCCGGAAACCGGAAAGGCGGGTGCGGCGCCCAGTTCTTACCCAGACCGCGGCCGCGGGAGCTCCTCGGGCGCTGGCTCGCCGAACTCCTCACCCACCTGGCACATACCCGTGCTGGATCGCGCGACAGACAGCGAAGGGACCAGCGTGGGGACGCGCTCTGATAACGTCACGCGCGCGCCGTCGCCCGAGCCG